TCAGCACCAGTGAACTGCCCTTGCCACTGTCTCCAGGTACCTGACTCCAGCTGATGCTGATGTAGCTAGAAATCACATCCAGTCAAGCGAATTGTCCAAGTTTTTCCATAAAGCATCATCCCCACAGCATGGAACTGGCACTTGCCTCAGCACTGTTCAGCGCTTCAGGTCTTACTGTAAAGCTTATGCATACAATTTTCATGTCTGTATTTGTAATTCTGCCCTGTGTAACACTTAGAAGGCACTGCCACACTTAGAAATTAGGGCACTATCCATGTATTTTTGCCAAGGACATCTGAAATTTTACAAGCTACTTATTCTTTCAGAAGTGTCTGACTCTTTCATTTATCCCCTACCTGAAATCACAATCATCCCAAGGTGTGTAATCATTCCTGCAGCAACCAACTGATTTCAGAGATTATTCTTTCTGTTGAGGAATAAGCAGGAGATGATGAAACCTGCAGGGAAAAAAAAAAAAGCATCCTTGAAAACCTTCCCCCATTCCAGCTAAAAAACAGAACAGCAGGAAAACTATACATGTAACCCTTTCCAAACTCATTCTGAAAAACAAGTAGACAGATGATAGTCCTATTCAGCAAAGTACTGCAGTATCTAGACAATATGATGATCATATAATTACAGAATCACAGAATGGTTTGGGTTGGAAAGGATCTTGAGATCATTCAGTTCCAACCCCCTGCAATGGGCAGGGACACCTCACACTAGACCATGTCACCCAAGACTCTGTCCAACCTGGCCTTGAACACTGCCAGGGATGGGGCATTCACCATTTCCTTGGGCAACCTGTGTCAGCACCTCACCACCTCAGGGCAACCTGTGACAGTGCCTCAGGGAAGAACTTCTGCCTTAGATCTAACATGAACTTGCCCTGTTCCAGTTTGAACCCATCACCCCTTGTCCTGTCACTACAGTCCCTGATGAAGAGTCCCTCTCCAGCATCCTTGTAGCCCCCTTCAGACACTGGAAGCTGCTCTGAGGTCTCCACACAGCTTCTCTTGTCCAGGCTGCAGCCCCAATGCTCTCAGCCTGTCTCCATATGGGAGGTGCTCCAGCTCCTGAGCATCCTCATGGCCTCCTCTGGACTTGCTCCAACAGCTCCATGTCCTTCTTATGTTGAAGACACCAGAGCTGCACACAGTGCTGCAAGTGGGGTCTCACAAGAGCCGAGCAGAGGGGCAGGATCACCTCCTTCCACCTGCTGGTTACGCTCCTTTCAATGCATGCCTCTCTGAAGTCAGTACTGAGCTACGTTGTCCCCTCTACTTTTCTGAATTTCCTTGACCAAAAGACTCCTTCCTACATGGCAGATACATCAGGAGAGCTAAGTAGGCTTCATGGGTACCATCAACTAGTGCATGTCACCCACAAGTGCAAAGCTAGCACAACTCCAATGTAGCACTGCCATCCCTCACAGCAGCTCAGGCTAGTCCTAACATCTCCAGAATGCCATTAAATGCATCACCCTATGGGAATAAAATTGGAGCATAACCCCCTCTACATATGGGTATCAGGTAGCAGAGGTTCCTGAGATGCAGTTTCTTCCCACATTACCTCCCTTCTCTTGTTCTCCTGATTCCCAGAGGAAGATATCACATGCATATTAGATACAATCCTGCTCATTGCACTGACTCAATCAGAAATCATAGGGTGCTACAAAGCACCCTATGAGCAGGTGCTTCAGATTGGCAGCCTAACACAGCAGCTCTTAATCTTATATGTGCCACAGCCACTCTCACACAAGGTCAATTGCACCTATGATTAACTCACACAAGCAGAACCCTCAGCTGCCACCTTACACAGCCTTGCAAATGCACAGGCTGCACAAAACTATTGGTAATTAGTTTGTCAAGCAAATGGTAGGGAAGAACAACACTGGTAATTTATACCATAGATATTCAAATGAAACATCTTCCCCGAGTAATTTGATGTCAGAAAGAAGAACAGCAGCAAAGCAGAACAAAGCTTCCCACCAGCTCTTTCTTGAAGGGACATTACTCTAATGTGTTATGAGACAAATTCAGACACAGTAAAAAACACATGTTTTTTTTTCACTGAACTCCTCTGGCCAGATTTTGGCATTAAAAATGGTTCTGAGATTATTCATGCGTGTCCTATATACAGAGACTCTGGGATGACCAAGGATGCTAGAGTTCAGCCAGAAAAGACCTGTATGGAAAACACTGTAGGTTATCCCAAAAGGGAAGATAAAGATCAACTACTGGAAATATATGTTACATTTTAGTTCTTTGCAAAAAAAAAGAGCAGGACTGGTCAGCCTACACCTTTCTTATTTTTCTCCTCACTCTACCACCCTTAGTACTGTCAGAGGTATTGGGACCCTCATCATCTGTTACCAGCAGCTCTCTCCACCATAGACCTAGCTGGTTGTAGTTGTTATTGTTACTTTTGTGTGTGTGAAACAGAATTTCACTTCTAAAATTGCTGCTTGGGTGATACTTCAGTGTTTTGCCAGAGTGTCTTGGATAGTGAACTTCAGGCAAATCAAAAGTGGGATTCCCTGGCTATGCAATGGGCTTCATAGTCACTAACCTGGGACACACCATAAGATAGAGTGACCTAAGCCTTGGAAATGCCTGTGGTCCTGCCATACTACTGTGTGTGAAATCCCCAGAAGCTTCAATCTCAGCTGGCGCAGCACCTCATCTCTGCTGAAGCAAGTTTGTGAGCCTTGGTGAGAACTGCAGGATTTCTGATCTTGGGCAGAAATCCATCTCAAAACCTGGTGTTCCAGGGTGCCACCCTGCAAAAGGAGTTCCTCAAGACTTCCACCAGTACCTGTCAGACGTCTGGGCTAGCTGATTTAAAGGAACTAACATTTCTCAGACCAGAATCCCACAGTGTTGCTTGGTTTCCACTGCCTTCAAAGCTCTCACCTTAGCAGTCAAGCAGGAGGTGAGAAGACGGAATTTTTCCTTATGGCAGAAGTTGGGTAAAGCATTTCAAACCTCGCTGCCAATAGATTATTTTATAATATAAAGGATGAGAAGCATATCCTTAGATATGTCCACAGCGGATGACTAGGCGAACTGCACCTCTGTACAAAAAGAAGAAAAGAAGAGTTAATTCTGAGCAAAAAGAAGAGTTAATTGATGGTAGAGAAGAGCTGCTTCATTTTCTGTGAGTATTGATAGTTAGGATACTACATTCACATGAAATAGGCCTTCTCAGCATCAAGATGATCCATTTTCCTGGCTTGTGTGTTTTAGGATGATTCAGTGTGGTAAACCAGTGTATTCCCAAATGAGCACTGGCTGAGCAAGCAGTACCTAATAAATGCTCAGCTGTCAATGCCACTTTTCTCCTTTTTCCTCCATCAAGCCTCTTCTTCCTTTCTTTTTGGTGAGAATTAGGAGTGGAAGCTTGCTACTGGCTTGCTACTACTCAGTGAGCTCTTTGGGTCTTGCCATTGATAACTGTATTTCTGTGGAGATAACAAAATCCAGAAAAAGAAAAGAAGAGAACCTTTCAAGCGTTCCAAATAAAGCTGCTTGCAGAAATGGGCGTTTTTTATTCAACTCCTACTAGTAGAGCGCGAGACAGAGATACCAGCACATGTTGGCACTGACATTTCTGGTGAAGAGTAAAACTGGACAAGACACAGGATCAGTTATTCCAACACTCCCTACAAAAACCCTAGTCTGTGTATCTGTTAAGAAACCCTGAAGAGAAGCAGGCCCTTTGGGGAATATATTAGAGAAAAGAAGGACAATTTGGAAACAGTCTAGCCACTGTTAAAACTTCTCTCTCTTTCTTTTCTATTAGGTTCTAACCAATACTAGGAGTTTTCATGTAGATATTATTTCATTCTATTTCATGTAAATAAGGATTTTCAAATAATCAATACTAATTCTGTATCCTCTTTTGACTTCTTGGAGACACTTTTTTTTGGCACCAGTGTTTCCCACAGGTCTTCTGTGCTCAGTAACAATAAACTCTCATCACCATTAACACTTCTGGTGTTGACTCTCCTTAAGCTCTTTCTCTTACACAAGCCCAGCCTTTCTCCATGACCATTTTTGCTTCATTATACCTTGATTTTATATGCCATAATTCACCCACAAACAGCAATAATTATTTTCACAATGTCATCCCTTCCAACAGAAAACTCTGAGATAGAAACCCTATTCTTGTCACACTTTCCCCATAGAATATTTATTGACAGTGGGTCGCCTTTTTCTGCCAAAGGATAAATAAAATACTAACTATGGGCCCAGAAAGCAAGGCAAGGTCAGCTCCAGGCTGCTCTTCAGCATTTGTGCAGATTTATAACAGATGAATGTGAATTCCTGACTTAGTTTCCTATTTACTACTTTAGCGGTATCTTCTAACAATTCCAGAGGAACTGCTCAGTAGGGTAAAATTAACACTGTAACAGTGTTTAACTGGAACAAACTAATCCAGTTACCTAGTGTGACAGTCTAGAATCATAGAACCACAGAATGGTTGGGGTTGGAAAGGACCTTAAGATCATCCAGTTCCAACCCCTTGCCATGGGCAGGGACACCTCACACTAGACCATGTTGCCCAAGGCTCTGTCCAACCTGGCCTTGAACACTGCCAGGGATGGAGCATTCAGTCAATGTAACCAATCTAAAAAGCACAGGATGGGTAAGAGGTAATCATGAGAAACCCAGTATTACCCTATAACCATAAAACAGTAGACATACCTCCTTATTAAAATATTATTAAACTTTTGGCCTCTGTCTGGTGCAGGATCAGTCATCACAGGACTGAACACAAGTCATATTCCCAGCAAGTGAAAGCATGGATATCTTTAAAAGGGAAAAAAAGTAGTAGAAAAAGTAGACTGGCTTCCACACCACAGCCTTTGTGATTGGAGAGAGGACTCGGAGGCAACAAAGCTGGCTTTGAAATCTCATCTTTTTCTCATTTCCTGCTAATCCATGAACAAGTCACCTCCCCTCTTGCCTTGATTTCCGCATGAGTAAGCTGGAACTGATGTATGTGTAACAGGAATCTGACAATCCTGATGTGATTACCAGTTGTAAAGCTTTTCAAAAGCTCATATAGGAATGTTACAGAGGTGCTGCAGTTATACCCCTTCCCAGGTTTCTATTCTCAGGGGTGTGAGGGGGAGGACCAAGCTGTTATTTGTTTAATGAAAACTGTATTTACTCACAACGTGGAATAATTATGTCCTTTCTCAAGAGAGAAAGCTTCAGTTAGTAGCTGCTGGGAAGCTTGAAAATAGTATCAGTGGCCATAAAACCCCCCCACTACATATCCATTGTACTATCACCCGATTAGAAATGCAGTACAGGGACTGCCAAATTACCAGTTGGCTAATACTTCAAAATCAAGGACAAACAGCACATCACAATTCAATAAGGAAGGAGACCATGTCTACAGCACAATAATCATACCCTGACCTTCATATAGTAACTGTTTGATGGTTTTCAGCTGTAAAAATATGCTAATAGGATCAACAAACAAAGAGAAAAAAGACTTTGAAACAATGATGAATACAGATAAAATAGCTCAGTGAAGCTGAAATATTTCCACATGACAGCCAAACATGAGCTAGGAAGTACTGCAATGCCTTTTCTGAATACAAAGATATATGCAAGCACTCAGCAACAGATCTTAAATGTCCTTATACAGGGGGAGAGACTGAGTATCAGTTAGATGCAAGGATTATGAGGCTGAAGCAGACAAATCTGTACTAACTCATTTATAGGCACTGAATACTTCTTTTTTCTTGACACTCTGGCCAAAAGTGTTGACTGTCCTGCTATACCTTTAAAAAAGGCTGGTCTGTGATGGAGTCTTTTCTGGTTGTCATACTTATTTGTCTGGATATTTTCATTTCACACCTTTTGCTAAAATCTGCAAAAAAAAAAAGCCAGGATCTGTCATTATTCTGTCTGAGTTTTCCCGAGTCCCTGCCTGGAGATTAACAATAAAAGCTCCCTCAGCGTTCCCTGGATTCTCCTTAAACATTGCCCGGAAATAACAAAATGCTATGTGTCCATTCTCTCTGCCCTCAAGTTATCAACCAATACTGGCGACTACATATATCCACACAGATAACATGATATGAGAGTTTATATTTCAAGGCAAATAACAAAGAGAGAGAAAGCAAAAGAGCAAAGGCACAATGGCTGTTGTGGCTCTGCGCAGATGCTGCAAATGTGTTAGTTTCATCTCACGTGAAAACCTGGCCTGTTGAGCCAATCAGCTGGGAAACTGAAGGCAGGAACCAGAAGTGTCATTGAGGTAGACTAAAACACAGAGGATGCCCAGAGGAGTAGAATGGAACAAGGGAAGATGTACTCTTAACATTTTTCTTTTTCACCAGAAAATCAGAGACTAGAGAGGCAATACCATTGAGTTGTACTAAAGTAACCTCCTGATCCTCCCATTCTCCTTAGACCACGCTAGCTTGTGGAGTTACTGCACAGGCAGCTACATCTTTCAGAGTATGTAATTGAAAGTTAGCAACACAAAGCTGTGGAGGGGGATCATCTTGTATTAAGTGATCTTCTAGAGAAGGATGGTGCATGGAACAATGACCTGGATGCTTAGTGTAGTGTTAGTTTAGCTACACAAACATAGGTTTGTTACCTCAAGCCACATATCAGAGATGATGTGAAAAGTACATAAGTCTTGGTGTGGATAAAAGGCCCATGTAAGTCTCTAGCAGACAACTACTGATGTTATTTAGTCCACCTTCTGGGAACTGCACTTTTTAAGAGAACATAGGTCTCTTCTGAAAAGCTATCAGAGGTCTAGCTGGTGCTTTGGGATGTGCATTGTAGTGACACAAAATAGGCTACAAGAAGCTGAAAATTACTATAGAGCTGCTGTGAACAAGATCAGATGATCAGAGGGGTCCTAACTGACACAGGGAAAAGGGGTCACGTACCTTGTGGAATCACAAAGGTTTCAACTGTGAGGACTTCAGAAAGGGGCAATACTTCAGAGATATTTGTTCCTTCTCATTCTTGCTTGGGTCAAGTAGCTTGGGAGGGTTGAGTAGCTGGCCATGTGGAAGGCTGCTCCTATTGCAGAACAGCACGTAACAGCAATTTCTATGGTGATAGAACCTGTCACAGGCACACTGCTGTGGTCAGAAAGGAGACTATCCTTGAGAAGAAAAGAAATAAGTTAGTGAAGAAACACTTGTTCAATTATAGGAGCAAACTAATGCAGTTTTACAACTATTACTGGCATTTTTCAACCTGGTATGCAGCAGAAGATCAACAGAAGTCATTGTGGGAACTGTCTTCTGTCCAACTACTGCACTAGCTACTAGAAAATATACTTCTTCATTGCCTTCTCCCTCATTATTTGTCTCACACCAGTCATTTCTGTTTCCTTCAATGTAACACAATCATGCTGCAGCTCCAAGAATGAAACTGTTCCATCAGATCATCACTGTTATGTCTCCTACTGCAAGTATGCACTTCTGCCATCCTTTTCAAGTTGAAGCTAGACATGCTTTTTAACGCTGGTGAGCTCAAAGGAAGGATGCCTCTTAGGGAAACACCCTCACAATTCATAAGCAGCACAAAACAGAAAGCCCCAGGTATGCCTCTTTAAAAATAATGAAAAGAAGAAGACTGCTTAGATCAAATATTAGCGACCTCTATAATTTAGCCAAATTATGTAAATCACTGAGGGCCATTTGTAATAATTTATAATCTAGTATAGAATATTTCATATAATTGGAACATTGACAGAAAACCTATGTTTGCTTTTGTTCTCATGATTTAAATGTTCACCCTAGGAAATCATTTTAAAAACATGAATAGTTTGTCTACTGTGCAATGTTCTTCTTGTAACATGGTAAAGAGGTGACAAATACATGTAATTTAATGCTGTAGAGCATAAAAGACTGAAAGGGGAAAGTCAGATAAACCAGATTAGGTCTTTTTGTTAATAGGTTGCTTTTGCTTGTTCTTTAGGGGAGGAATACACCTATTTTCATATTTATATGTGCTCAGTGAAGATATTCTAGGCCTAAATGTACCTCTAAGGCACTACAGCAGCAAATGCATTATTTTCAGAAGTTGGAAATTAACTCACTTGTGATTCTTACAAAGAACAAGGTGGATATGAACTTTCATTACTGCAAGGTAATCGCCAGAATGAGCGTATCATGTTTGATATTCCACAGCCTCACTTCCACTGAAGTTCAAGAAGAGCACACATCTGACCTGGCTCTGTTTTCCCAGCAAAAGAACTTTAAAGACAGACTTGTGTTCCATGAGTGACAAACCCTGAGGGAAGAAAAATTTGTTACAGATCAGAGATGTCAGAATCTGAAGCAAGCAAACATCAGATGTTTCTATACAACACAGCAAAACAACTTACCCTTTCTTGCAAAGACTTCTGGAGACCAGTAGCTGAGTGCATGTGTCTGGCCATGCACAAGCATGCATGTATAGACACTGCAGCCGAGTCACAGATGTGATTAGAAGCAACAAATGCACTGTTTGCCCACAGCAAATATTTTTGTTCCTCTATTCCATCCTATAGTAGCTTTCAAAAGAAAGACCTTTGTTTTTTGAGGCAAGCTTGCTGCCATGAACAACAGACTAGCCAAAACCAGTATAGATGTGCCTCGGAAAAGAAACACCTTTACTACCCGTTGTAAGCAGAGAACGCTGCCAGGCTTGTTTTGCTGGATGCATCTAACATTGCTTTAAAAGTAGAGAAAAAAAAAAAATCAGTAGCAGAGATCAGACGAACTGTAAAAGGGAACATTTGCTTTATGAGTTTCCCTCTCATCTGACTTTTGTTAATGACTCCTTGACTAATGTAAAGAGGAGCACATCAAACACTGCACAAACTACCTCTACGCAGCAATTTTATAGCACATAAATCTCCCATGTTCAATTTGGCAGTCCCACCTTACTCTGCAGCTGACTGCACAGACAAACGGATGGTTTATAGGTACCAATATTTCAAGGGCTCTGATTTTTTACCATTTAACCAGAGTTTTCCCTATGAAAATGGAGTTACGGGAACCTGGTTCTTTGTTGACCAGCTGTTATGAAACCTATTTTATTTAGCCAGTCTATCCATAAGCACTCTCAGCCATTCACCTGGCCAGGGTGTTATGGAGACCAAGTGTTTGAAAGGACCTTTCCTTTCCTTAAATCCTTGGCTATTACAATAACCATTTTATTAACTGCCTTCCTCCCTGGAGTAGGAGATGTTACAGTTTCCCCACAACTTCACAGTTGGGCATGTCACAGTTTCCAAGGTACTCTCACACTGTTGAAGTGACTGGCATTTCTTCATGCAGCAGGACTGTGCTCACATGAAGGAAATATCTTTGGTCCTCAGAATCAGAGAGCTTCCTTTTTCTTTTAAGGAATCAATACATTCATTAGTAAAAGGGTCTCAGGCCAAAACTCCATCCTTCAATCAGCAGCAGTGAACACAAATTGTTAACTATGTGAAGAAACAAACCAGCATCTCTGGCCTAAGGGTGTGTTGAGTTAACTCAAGAGTAATCTTTATTGAGATATCATGTTCCTGAGCTCTCACTGTCAGGTGGCAAAGATCAATCATCCCTGGAGACATTCAAAGCCAGGCTGGATGTGGCTCTGGACAATCTGATCTAAAGATGCAGGCGGTTGGACTGGATGAGCTTCGAAGGTCCCTTCCAACCCAAACCATTCTGTGACTCTATAAGCAAACCTAAAAAGTATGCCTTCCGCTGCACGTTCAGTCTGCTTCTTCCCACAGCGAAGTGTGTGATCCGAAGCGAGGAGCTGCTGTCCCTTCCCTCTGAAACAATCCTAGAGCTCCCAAGTCTTTGATATATGCCTCATGTGGCTCTTTGCCACAGGAAAATCTCAGTCTGTGGCTCATAGACACTGAAAGTTTGGCCATCTCCACTCTTACAGAACACTAGCCTCTAAGTGTTGTTTTCCAGGCAGTAGTAGTGGAAAGAAGCCAAAGGTTGAATTGCTTCTCCGCCTGAAGTCTGTGCAGTTGAGATCTGAAGGGTTTTCCCCTTTTCTGATAAGGCAAGGATAAGGATCTATAGGCAGGCAGCAGATTCGGTTATCTGTAAGCGGTAAAAGGCATTGCAGATATGAATTTCACTCCTACACACTAGTGTCTGTCCTTGAAATAGGTGTCACTAGAAGAGGTAGAGAAATGCTTATGCATAAAAGTAGTAGATACAAAGAACACTTTCAGGACCTTGTATCAACACATCTGTGGATTCACACATGACTCCTGTCCTGGGAAGAGAGTTAGGTCAGCTTTCATTGAGATGAGGCTTGTTTTGTGCTGTTTGTTTGGGTTTTGTTTAAATACAGTTGAAGCATTCAACCTTCTTAATAAGAAATAATCCTTATTAATCCTTTTTATCCTTAAGATCCCCATACTAACTCAAGTTTTAATTTGCTGAATAAGTATCGTAGGGACTTTAAAACTGTTTCATTCCAACAGGTTCAATGACTGTTGTAACAGCAATGTCTTACATCTAGTACTAATATGAGCAGAAGCAGAATTTATTCTCCAAATAGAAAGGTCTTGGCAGTGAAGAAAAGCAACTTAAAATTCAGCATTGCCTGGTAATAGTCAGCCATGCAAACTAAAATGGTCTAAAACCCAAAAAGATACAAAATTCAAGTAAGAGCCTCTAATCATACAATAACAAGTCATGGAGACACCTTTCTTTCTGGTCTGAACTGGTGATCAACTTATGCTCTGGACATTTAAAGGAGAACATGCTTCCTGAGCAGTACTGTAGAAATCCTACCCAGAAAAGTTTCCACTTTGAGCTTAAAAGGAAACAAAAAGATGTTATTTCTAAGAACATTTAATATTGGGTCTAAAGTGCAAGGAATTGGGGCAAAGAACTAGAAAACGGAGTAGGCATGTTTCCTACTGCTCTTCTACTAAACGAATTATCTCACCAGTAGTAACAGACCTCCACAGACAGAAAAAGGTACATCCACGCTCAAACTTGAGCAGCAACAAGCCAGGCAGGATTGGTCCTGAAAGATTTCAGTCACAGAACCCCAATTTAACTCACTCATTTGGCTTCTTGGGCAGCTATTCTTAGCTCAGTGTCTCAGAGCAGGCTCTGCATGGCAATCACAGGGTGCTACAACAGACACTTCTAGGGACAGCACATTGATCTTATAGCTGTATGGAGTAGCTAGATGAGTACTAATTCCTTACCTCTTCATTGCACTGCGATTTTTAGATACACCATAAAGTTCATGTAGGAAGCCACACAGGGAATCGTGGCAGGGGAGTTGGAAGCAGATGATCTTAAGTTCCTTTCCAGCCCAAACCAGTCTGTGATTCTGTGATTCTATGGTCTTAAATCAAAGCCAGGTGTCTTTGAACTTTGTGCACAGTGTGGATTTCATGCCTGTTGATCCCATGTGACAGCTGATCTTCAGCTGTCTAGATGTTCTCCTGTCATGCTGCCTGTCCTTTATACCTTGACTGCACAAGTCTTGGTTATGGAAAGAATTTGGAGTGTTTGGCAAAATCCCAATAATTGACAAGGGGTTGGAGGACAAAATTAATTTCTACAGAAACATCCAGGATGTGCTTCATTAATCCAACTCAAAAAAAACAACCCAAAACCTTGGCAGGGAATGTAATCTCTTAACTGTGAGCACCGGGCTTACAGTAACTGGGTTTGATGCTTTGAATTTCATTTCATTGCCTTCAACCAACTCATTCGCTTCAATTATTCAACAGTACTACAGCAGAAGGGAGGTAAACATCAAAAAGGTGAAAATGAACTCAGGTTTTAAAACTGAACTTAATTCATTAGAAACCATTACTTGCAATGCATAGAAATTAAAAGCACCCAGGAGACGGTGCTTTAAATGGTGTCGTTGCCTCCAGCAACAGGATAGAACTGTTCTCTGTTACACAGACCCAATACTGAAGTTTTCAATTGCTGGACTTTTCAGTCCTAAAAGAAAACCTGGTTCCTCAAACTAAATATTAATAAATAATACACCCTAAGACATTTATGTTGCGAAATCATAATATCAGTAAAAAATAGGAGTAAAAAGGAAGGTTAGGTGGGCCTTGGGCAACATGGTCTAGTGTGAGATGCCCTTGCCCACGGCAGGGGGTTGGAACTGGATGAGCTTAAGGTCCTTTCCAACCCCAACCACTCTACGATTCTATGCTTCTCTGATTCCATAAACCAAGAGGTCAGCTAGTCAATTCCAAATTCCACCCAGCAAGTCTACAGCTATATTCTTACAGCAGAGATTCGTGTAACTCACTTTTAAACATCTTCAGTGATGGAAATTTCACAATATTCATAGCTACTCCTTCACTCTCCTTATTTTGAGTTTGTGCTTATGTCTAACCTCAGTCTGCCTCTCTGCAATTCCAGTCTATACTTCTTTTTGCTCAGCATGGGGATGATTATTACCTTCCTCTCAGAAGCAGCCTTTAAGGATGTGAAGACCACTGGGATGTCTTCTTTAGCCTGAATAGCCCCACTTCCTTCAGCCCCTAAATGGCAGTGAATGTGAACATTCAAATTTCAGGAGCGCTGAAGAAGATAGAAAGACTTTAACCTTTGCACTGTATCTCATACATAGAATTTAGTTTGGGTTTTCACTTTTTCTTTAATTATTAAATAGAATATAGTGAAGAGGATTTCTCCGTTATAAAAACAGGGGTGGAAAGTGTATTTGCACAAAGAGTTTATAATGCTGCCCTTGGTTTTTGAGAGGAAGCTGTTAACAGTAAAACAAACAACTGTGTATTCAGAGCTGCAAGCCAGACTTCACATTCCTCCAAGAGATTTCCCTTGTGCAGTCTTTTAGCTTCACGGAATACAAGTTCATAAACATTTTCTTGTTCTAATCAGAGCCGTGGGAAGCCACAGGCCTCCCATGTTCTTTTGTATATCAAAGACATAAGGTTTGAGTCTCATTACACTGGTTAGGAACTACACGGTCTTATGAACAGGCAGAAGTATTTGTATACTGTGTACCAGAAATACACTTTTGTCTTGCTTACTTAAAGGTAAGACACTTCAGAGTTCATAAGCAGTGCCTGTTACATCGTGTATTTTCTTTGCTTCTTTTACTTTTCTCTGTTCTATTCAGATTTAAGCAAGGAAAAAAATACATGTTCTTAGTGATACCCTTGCAAATCCCTTCTGGTAGGAGAATTTACTTAACGTTTTGGGGAGGCACACTTAAAACTACTGAGGGAATGGGGAACCCCATGTAATAAGACTCACACAGTTCCTTCTGTTATACGTCTCCAGGAGATCAACTGATACCAGAGGAACTATGCTTTGTGTAAATGTATGCAGTATGGATGGGCTGATATTTTAGTTTCTTTTCAATTCACTCCTGGAAAGAATTTTGATTACTATTCTAAGAGGATACTGTGCTCTCTTAACTGTTCTGTACGTAGCGCCTCCTGGCAGTGCAATCCTCCAGCATCTATGTGCCTCAGTTCAGAGCTTCCTCTTCCCTAGAAAGAGTGACCAATAGCCCACAGCTTAAACAGGAGAAAACAAAGAAACAAAACAACTTTCAGGGACAATGGGAGCAGAAATAATGGCTCTTCAGGGAAGTAGCAATACTATCTGCCAAGGGTTTAAAGAAAAGGGAATGGAAATTCAGTTATCCAATGGACAAAACAGCCAAGTCAAATAACACTGACATCGCAATGCCTGTATCATCCTTTTGCACTGTTCCACTGATGCAACTCCATAGCAGTGTCACTCACGTACAGAATAAATCTGGAGCCATTATAAACCATAGGACAATCCCAGAATGCTGGGTCTGTCTCATGGTTGTGGAGATGGATGGTAACTCAATTAGAAATGCATAATGACATGTGCCAGTGGGATCTCTCCCTTTCTTATGTTCTTAACCAGAAATCATTTATCTAACTTCCAAACCAGCATTTACTTACAATTTCCCCCAAATATCTAAAACCGTTTATGGCATTATCAAAACTTGGTGTCTGTAATAGAATGAATTCAGTAAAATATAGATTACCAATAGAATATTATTAACAGCTTAGACAGATCAAACAATATTAAGCTTTCCAATACGTCAGCAAACGATGTTTCCAGGAAACTAAAATCAAACCAGCAGGGTGTAGATTTAGCTATTCTTTGCTTCACAAGGTGATAATGAAAGGAAAAAAATAAAGAAATGTCTTGAAAGTAATTTTGTTAGGCCATTACTGACAGGAGGTGAAGAAAGTGTTACGAAATCTATCAGAAATGAACAACCTAGCAATCAACGAGTGATAGTTGTTTGAAAAAGAGTAACTAAGGAACAGAGCTATGTGTCAAAAGAGGAAGACAAGCAAACAGAATATGGCACTGTATGAAAAGAACAAAATCCACTGCAGCCATGATTTTAGAACAGCATAGTTAAACCAAACCAGCTCCTTAACTGGCTTAGTAACGGACAGCAAGCACAAGAGATGCTGCAAACTTGACTTGGACAATTCCGTCTGGGTGCAAGTACAAAAGCTATACTTGCTATTCTTATGTATGTTCATAGACTTAAGAAAGCTTCTTTGACTCTCCAGTTGCTTATTCTCAGGATGAAAGAACTAAGATGTATTTGCAGTCTAATAGTTAAGTTGCACATACAGAGTTAGGAAATAGATAAAGCTCCATATTTACTTTTACCTTTCCAAGGTCAACAGATGACGAAATAAAGAATAAACTCTCTTTTTCTTTTCCTTCTTCCACCCAGTAACTTTCAACATTGGAAATAATGTTAGTCTGCACTGTTGGAAACTGTTGCCTCCCCTCACTTACAAAAATTGTCTTAACAGAGAAGGTAGCTTAGCTGGATGTACTTTTGGATGCACAAAAGCTGGACGGACCTTTTGCCATACTGTTCCTAGGTAAAGCTACTTTATTTTTTTAAAACCTACTTCATACAGATAAGGAAATTACAATTTCAATCTCTAAAGTATGGCAAAGTTTTATAGAACTATAAAGCAGGTGATCACAGAGGCAAAGTCCTTTCTAAGAGGAAGCGTTTCCAGCCAGCTGATAAAATTCTAATCTCCAGTTCACTAGCTGGAAGTCATTGCTACAAATCAGGTAAGTCCAAAAGAGCAAACATGGAAAGAGAGATATGAAATACTTTGAATATGAATATGAAATATCCTTGAATACCATGAAAAATAAACCATCAAGAATTTCTCTGTTTAACATTATGTAAAACTCAGAACTGAGAGGCAAGAGAAAAGGAGAAAAAAAACCCAAAAAGCTATGTGTAAAGAAGAGAAGAAATACCCCACTTTGATCTTTGTGGTCACTCAAGTCCTCTCTACAAAGATACTGACTTCTGGTGAAAGATGCTGAATTCCTATGGCCACAGCAATGAAAACATACAAAGAGAAAATGACTGAAGAGTTAATACTACAGGTATAGAGAAAACATTACATTGTTTTTTCACCCCTTCTCACAATGCTGAAAGAAGAACTGGATGCTGACTTTAACAAAACCCTTCTGGAGAGTAAATTTATATTGCCAGCAACCCTGAATACAGGACTGAAAACCACTAAATGTAATCTAAGTGTGGCCATGTGTTCTTCATGTCTGGTTGCAGTGATGATGTCCTGCATTTCTCAAGGTATGACTGGGTTTCCAATGATTCTCACACAAGTGAGAATCTACTGGAGGAATCTACTGCAACTACACTAGCCCAAAGTACAACGAATGGAAGAGAGCTTAACACTAGATGGCAATATGCCTTTGCAAGTTATTTCTCTGAGGTGCCTGTAGATAGAGGCAAATATTTTCCCAACTATTATACTATTTCTCAGTTCTTGTGGAGGTTTAGGCATACAGGTTTTATTTGGTTCGCATGAAAATAAACTTCCATGCTATTGCATTTTTCTCGCGGTTTGGCTTAAATCAAGTTCAGATGATATTCCGATCTAGAGCTGGCCCAACAGAAGGGATTCACTGTTTAGCTGAAAGTAAACTATGAATTATTCACTGTTCAGTGTGTGTGGAAAACATGTGCAGAATTACATGATGAACACTGACCAATTCTATCATGCTTGGTGAAATGTACATCAAAAGAAAGCTGAATTTGTGGGCTACCACCTTGCATCTACTGATACAAATCAGACCATGAAACTAAACATTTATCTCTTAAACTCAGGGCTCCTTTGGGTAACATTTTCCCCCACTACCTGAAGCATTAATCCTGGTTATTTATTTTGGGCTCCTGCCTAAGCATGTAGCCTCTACTGAAATCCAAGTCAGTTATGAAGGCAGAATATCCTGGATTATACTCCAGTTGTCCAAGGCACTTTGGCTGGCTTACCTGTGCTTAGTGCAGTGCTTTCACAAATTCCTTGGAAAGCCCAACATGTTCTAAATCGAACCTATAAACCCACACTTTTTAAAACTAAACCCGCATTATAATTATCAACTAAGTGGCTAATGAATGGTCGGTTGGTTGTTTCCAAAAATGATCAGTATCTGAAGGTAACATTAATCTGTCTCAGCAGCAGCAGCAGCAGCTCAAAAAGGCCTTGGCCAATACCTGCACACCTCCCTTCTACTGGCACTTCTTTTTATATGAAGATGGGTCCCTGAAGCTATTACCACTTTCACACACAACTTATTCTCCCACCAACTCAGTAAGAGATCCCAAAACAAAACAGCAGGTTAACTGCCAGTACCATTTTGCCCATACATCATTTTAGCTATTGCCCTCTGGATAGTCTGTCCCACATTTCTGCAAAAGGCACTTTTACACCTTTTGTGCTTTTTATGGATGTGTCTGAAGACAAATATGGACAACACAGGAATTATAGTAGGTAAGGGAGTGGGACATCTTTTCAGGCTACTTTGTAGAGGCAGATCAAAATACCTTACAGAACAAGCCCAATGTCACTTCTAAATTCAGTGGAAGTCTGCAAAACATCTCAATTTCTATCACCATGATACACGATATTTATTTTAGTCTAATTTAATGTGAGAGAAACTGGATATATGGCCTAAAGCAAAAACACAGTTGCTTCTAACAACCGTATTGACAGTCAACGAAAACTTCACTGATAAAGGTCACACTGGAAATGCCAAGAGAGCTTTGAAGTAATGCCACCGTGAAGCCTAGTTAGTATTAACAAGCGCGGTGCAGTGGCATAAAACCAAAGTCTTCCATTGCAACAGTTCGGACAGTTTCGTTCAGAAAATATTTAAATCAATCACCAGCTTCTCAAAACACACTTGATCAAAAACGATCTGCAATGTGCCATGAAAGGATGCTCACGTCCTAGCAGAAAATGCTTCACTAATCAAAATGAACAAGAGCAGAAATGACCAGAAAAGCCAAGAATCCAAAGAGACTGAAGGATGATAACAGCACAGAATGGAAAGAAGGATGGAGGGGATGCTAGTTCTGAAGTAAGCAGCTCATTTACTAATTCTTCACTCTTAATTGAGGATTTAAGTACCAAAAACTAAACTACATGGGTAGATGATGCTCATTACCAGCAAGATTCAATATTTATCAGCAATCGCTGGCTTGTGCTTGACCTCAGCTTGGGTTTGTATAAAGGACTTTTTGTTTCATTCCAATAGAAATAAAAACATTATCAAAAGAACATTTCTTGCCTCCCACATATTTGCATTTCAAATTTTGCAGCATTGTGCTAGGGCATGATCAGAAATCATTCCAGCTGAGCAGAACAATTGCTTTAATCGTAGTTATTGTAGCCTACCTCAAAGTTAAATATAATTATTAAAGTCTGAAGAAAGCAGCAACCCAAACCCCTCAGGTATCCTAATGTGCACATGGACAATAGCTTGATGCTTGATTACACACAGGGAGGTTGTTGTTTGGACTTATGTCAGCACCTGGATGAAACACTTCTGCTTTATGCCCAAGCTAGACAGCTGTGATGATGGCTGGCTGGAGGAAAATGTTCCTTTCCTCTAATACAAGAACTGTCTCACCTGCTGTCAAATTTAACATGACCCTCTCAGTCCCACACAACTCCTTAGTAAGTCTAAATGACTGCCTAGTGTCAGTGGTCTAAAGGTCTTTGTCTCCTACCAATTTGCTATAAACTTTAAGTGTTCCCTGCAGTGGCAGTCTGGTTATGTGGTACAACCATCCATCATACCCAAAACAAGGTTGCTGGAATGCATCCACAGAAAAAAGAATACAGGGCTTTTACACTGCCCAAAATTCAGGTTTGTGACTCACTGGTAGACTAAGACAATCACCACCACTCTGGAATAATGTCTGCTAAATCCCTGTGTTCTGATATTATAGTAATCATCTGTTAAGACACAACTACCAAGCTGCATGTTAATCTGGAACTCCTCCATGTCAGTCTTGCTTGGAGTCATTATTTCCATGATGACAAAGGTGAATCACATGGGACTGGAGAGAAAGCGCTCATGTTTGAGAAGAGGGAGCTTTGCAGTCCAGCAAAACTCCAGATGAAGATTGGATCTAGAATTTGATCTCTTTTTGTATCATCACTGGGAGCCAGCTTTTTAATAATGCTTTGTCAGAACAGGGAGAGGAAATTGATAGTAACATCCTCCTTTTCCTGTATATTTAAGCCCCTGTAAGCCAGTGCTACTCCATAGAAGATAAAGAGCTAATCCAACCCATATCAAATGAGGATGTGGAGCAGCAAATGCACATATCCAAAACACAGCCAAAAAAATGCAGAAGATCAGAAGGTGCTGAGAAAAACATCAGTGCAAGAACAGCTGTGTAACCCTCAAGGGAAATATATTTAGAACAAGTTCACCAGCGTCTGTGCAGTTACTTTATATTTGCATTAGTGTAATGAAGAAGCAGCTGGTTACTGTGCAAAACAAGTACTTTATTTCAGATGGACATCAGAAAGGCAATTGCCCAGAATACTGAATGGCCTAAGAACAACCACAGCCCTACTCCTTCCAAGCGACAGCAAGAACTTCATGCTCAGCTTTTCAGGGCCCTTGTTACCCCTGCAGATTCCTCTATTTGCAGGGTGCAGATGCTCCATTTTGTTCATCCTTCTGGCAAGTCTCAACCCAGCTCCTCAGGACAGCTGAACATGCCTCTCACTCGGTCTTAAAATGAACTGAAAGACTATTGCATGCCAGCACTGAAATCATTAACAGAAAGCGTGTATCTGATTGGGGCAGAATGCTTTTTGAGGTGGGGGTAATGTGTCCCTGAGGCACAGGCATGGTGACACAACATGCCTTTGTTTTCCTAACATAAAGGACCAAAGAAGTCTATGTTAAGCATTAGCCAAACAGAGGCAGCTGATACCTATCTATTTAGATACTAAGCAAGTGACTTGGAAATGTTCTGTTCTGTCTGTTAGTTCACCACACCTGAATGAATGATACCCTCACTTTTCTTTATTGTTTAATCCCAGTGTGCAAGCATGAGACCAACAGGTACACTGTAAACCAAAGGAAACAGTTGACTCTATTCAGGGACAGGCACAGCCCTGATCTGACTGGGGCTGAGAAAAGAAGACATGAAAAAGGCATGGAAGTGGACATGAACATCAAAACTGCAAAAGCCACAGTCATTATTTCAACACCACAGACTGGAATGAGTACCCCACTAAGGGACATTTCAGCAAGGGGAATGGAGGGGAGGCAGGGTTGAAGTCCTCCTATACCTACCTCCTTCTCCCCTCATTAATTCTACACTGCAGTCTTCTCCTAACATGCTTTTATCAGCATATCTTCAACTGATTCTGATCCTCCTCCACTGTCAATGAAGTAGCATCTCAAGCCACAAGGCCAATCCTACACTGTGTTTGAATACCAAGCAGATTTCACTTTACACTTACAAGCTGGGGAAGGGGGCTTTCTCCAAGCATCACAGCCTGGAGAAGATTCTCCATATTGCATTTTTGAGGTAGAGGGCTAAGTTTTGTCCATTGGATTACTAAGCTTTTAAACACAATAACAGCACTACCATGAAACTACTTTAAAGCACTGAAGGACTGTTAATGAAAACTTACAATCCCTAAACAATGTCAAAGGACCAGCAGCATTTCTTAGGACACTGACTTCTCAGATAGCACAATACAGGATGCAATACAAAGCTGTACTTTTACTTGTTTGAAAATAGCATGTTTATCACAATCTCATAAATATTTCACCAAGTTTATTGGTAAGATAAAGGCATATGATCTACACCTCATGTATTTTCCTTTCTACTCCCAAGGCAGTGAGGGAGGTTCATTTATTGCCTTTATCATTACCTCCTCCTCTTCCACCTTCCACTGTTGTTTTAACACAGGCTGCAGGCATATTAAAGAATCAGTTACCTTGACTTTGAAAGTAGCTGTAGTTTTCACACCTCTCACCACATGCAATGAGGGATTTCTGCAGGTATGAGTTAGCTGCCAAGAAAGCTCCATCTTCTGCTCTCTAGAGTTTTAGTCTCAGGAACACCAGTACATGGCACAGCACTGTTTCATTTTCCCTCTGTGACCTTCAAAAGAAGTAGAGTTAACCAACTTGATTTACTTTAAAATAACTCCAGTCTTTTATGCGCCACAGAACTAGCAGCACCAAGATCAAATCAAAGGAAGTAAGTATCAGATTTTACACTAATATTTTGCATCACCAAAGTAAGAGTAATTTCACCTTTCTTGTTAATCTCACAGAAAGGGTGAGGCAGTGGCTGCTTGAAAAGCTTCAAGTTGTACCTTTCAGCTCCTGTTGTAAATCTGCTGTCGCTACTAGACATACCTACGGTATCAGAAGAACCCAAATGGAGCCTTGTGATTCTGAGAAATCACTTCTTTTCCCTCAGCCATACAAGTTGGTCTCATTAAAAACTTAGCCTTGCAGAGCAGTGTCTTTTAGGAGCAGCATCTGGTGTCACATCCTGTAGAAACAGCACAACACCATAGTCTCTTCAAAGAGGCTTTTGAAGTATGACAGCCAGTGGAGGCAGGAGAACTTACCGGGTGTGAATAGCTTTAATCAGTTGACTCATATCTCCCCCAGGTCCCTCGGTTTTTAATTTCTCTCTCAATAAATGTGGGCAGCTCCCCATATCTTCTATTTCTGCATGAGTGTGTTAGACTTGTCAGGCACAAAAGCAGAAATGACAGATGCACCACCTCGCACCAGCAACGTCTGACCTCTGAATCTTTCATAGAGGAATCTCTTTAGCTCTGACAGATGGGAAAGATCTAGCATTGTTACTTTGGGGAAGTGATCCCTCTAGAGAAGCCTATATCTAATAATTATGAAGAGAAGGTTTGTTATTTGTGCTTGAGCTCTCTTGTGATTGTATAACCTTTTTGGGTAGCAACATGCCTTTTCTTTTTCAGTCATTTCTTCTGAATTCTGAAACACAGAGAGCTTTTGATCACTAAGAATCATCCTCAATTTTTACATATTAACAGGGCTTTCATTAACACATGAATGTGACTGAACATAGACCAATAAGCTTGTAACATCAATCCTGTCTCTTGCAACACCGTCTGAGCTAGACTTTTTTCTTCACTTAAGGTCTATCAAGGAAATGGCAGAAAGAACTCGATTTGTGCATTCTGTAACAACGTTTGCAGCAAGAGACATTATAAAACTACGACGTGTACCTAACTATGAAATTCTGGGGGATAGTTCTAGAGACATAGTCAATCAATTTCATCCATGTACCTTTATTTTCCTGCCCTGACTTTAGGCTTAACCCTGCTCCTGTGCAACAAAACATTCTGCAGACCACAGAAACCCAGGGGAAAATCCAGGGACCCTTTATAAAAGAACACTTGTCAGCACTGCTCCTTCTAGCTTTCTAGCACAATGTGTTCAGAGAAGACTCTCCTGGCACTAGGAAGGAGGATGGTTTACTAGTTCTTTTGCATACAGCAAAAGACAGCATATCTGCAGCATTTTCACTTTTGGGAAGGCTGACTGACCCATCCTAAATCCTAGGTTAAACAGTAGAAGGCAACTTCTAGTTCTTTACGTTCACCTGCCTTGGAAGTGCAAGGGGTAGGAATTAGAGGGCTCAGAGATTCCATGGCATGCTATACAAAGGACACAGAAATGAAATACAATTGCAAAATACACTTTTCATTTCACATATTCCCTGAAAAGCACTAACCCAAGAAGGGAAAGAAGAGAGAAGGGAAGCTCACAGCCCACTTTCAGACTTCACTGAGCACAACTGGCTCCTCCCCTCTTAGATGCATACGTACTGTATCACCACATCCAGGGACCTTAGTGTGCAAAGCAGCTGAAAGCTACCATCAGGATGAGAGCAAGGCAGCTGGTGTGTGGAATCTGGAGTCTGTGTTTCACGTTCTGCCTTTTCTGCATCTTTCTTCACCAAACGACAGCTAAAAGAAAACTGAAGTTTGTGTCTGTAGTAAGTAGATAGCTCACGGGCAAATAGAACTTGTCAAAACCTGTCACTTCCTGCTCTTCTTGTACCTCTGGGGGGGGCTTTCTGAATATTTGGCTCCTGCATATTCAAAATTCACTACTGCACTGTACAAAAAAATCCTCCATTTTCAATCAGATTCTATCATTTTGTCTCTTGTGCAGTCCTACATGAACTTCCCTTTCTGGATTGACAAAGAGAGCTTTTTTTTATAGCACTGAGAGGGGAATTACACAGGATTCCTTTTTGAGTTGTACAAGAGGATTGCATAACTAAATATCAACTGTGCAAACCCCCTCATTGCCTTGGACGGGTTTCCACTTTTCCGGTGGTTTCAATGGATTACCATGCAAACCAAATTTCACTCGCTGAAACCCAAACAAGGGCACAGTGGCACTGAATGAACACCACAGAGTCAGTGCTGGGAAACTGATGCTACTTGCAATGATTGTGCTGTACCATTTGTTTGCAAGAAGCCTGATTCTTGTTCTGAATGTCACACCAGCTTGCAAATCACTTCCATGCTCTTTGTGCTGCAGGTTTCCATTTTAGCTCTCTCTACATTGATTAAGAAGTAAAAAAACAAACCCATCTGGTGGTAAGATTTTAAAACGACAATCCATGTATCTACAGGAATTCTGCTGGGCAAGGCAAGGATTTGGTACAGGAATGAAAAATCTCCAAGTATCTTTATAGGCTGATCTGTATCTGAAGTGAAATTCCAGAACAGGTTCAATGTTTTCAGACTAACAGTTTAGTCTGCTATTTGGATTAGATGACACTTTTATCACCTCTGAATGCTGAAAAAGTCAACAAGTATTTTTTTAAGGCTAAGTTCTGACCAGAAAGTGTTTCACAGCAGCCAGGCACAGAAACTGTAGCTAGAGAAGTAGCTGGGTGTTTTTCCTTAGGGATTCCCAGTTAGTTCTATCAACATATTTCTGGAAAATTACTTACATGCTTCTGTTTGTTTCCTGTTTATTTAATGCTTTGGCCTATAGTTCCCTAAATATCTAAAATATATTTAAAATATATTAAGATATATCATGGGTTTTATATGCAAAATATAAATATGATATATATGCAATATATCAAGATATATCATGGGGGGGTTTATAGGCATGGTTTTTAACATGAAAAAAAAAAAAAGATGTTGAGCTACTTGCTTTTCAAATGTTAGGAAGAGTTACATTTGTCTAACTAAATCAAACAGGTATTATAGCTATCCAGACCCAAGAAAAGCACCATGAATATATTTAGCATCTGTCAGATACAGTACTCACTGTCATTGCATTCCTTGTGACTGCACTAATTACATTCATCATAAAGGATCCCATTAAAGCAAAGGGAATTCCATGTGTTTTCCAGGTATTTCGCCATGGTGACCATACCCCACAGGAGTTTTTTCCAACTGATAAGCACAGAGAAGCTGGAAGGCAGCAAGGATGTGGACAGCTTACCAAGGTGCGTTTGCTTACCTGGGCCAATACACTGAACTATTGGAATGTGGTCTGTTCATACTTGGCTCTTGGAATTTTGTTTTCACTTGGAAAAAGCTCATATTAAATTGTCATATACAGATCTCCAAAAGGACAGCCAAAGAACTTACTAAGAGGCTACAGCTATGAGCAGTCACGGATTTTAAATGGCATCGAGTCAGCGTGTTCTGGTCCAAGAGCAACATGTGTTGACCTGTGCTATTGCAGACTAGGGTCTTTGGGCAGGAGCCAGGCACTGGTGACCATCACAGCTCACCTGAGGCCAAACACATCAGTAGGATAAAGTGGTGGAAGTGCTCATAAACCATCCTCAGTCTCTGCTGAGCACTTCCTAGCTCACAAACTACTAAGATCAGTAATAGCTGAATCTTCTCTCATGTTATGCCAGGGGAAGTTTAAAGCCTTAGCTTTAGAGCTCAGCTATTTTAGTGGTGGAATACGGCAGAGCTGAGCTAGCACACAAGCATCAGCAGATGGTAGTAACTAGCAGCAGCAAAGGCAACTCCAGAGGCCAACTGCAGAAACTGTGTCTTTGCATTAACTGTAAGTAACTGCCTCCTCTTGTGAATGGAGCCAAGGGTGAACTCCTGTACTATCAGACTCTAAGGGAATACGTGGGCACTACATGCTTTGAACCCTACTTCTGCTCACTCCCACCGGTAGCACTCACTGTGTCTGTGCTTCATTCCCCCAGGATATGTTGTCTGGATGGAAAAATCCACTAGTTATTTGCCTAGGATTCTGGGAACCAGGCAGTCTAGCTGAAGAAGTGCCAGAAGTCTGGATGTCCCAGATAAATGGGTATTATGCATGTGTAGGCAGACTGTGAAGTGTGTGTCTCAGGCTGCTCTAGAATAAGTTCACTCACACACCTTATGTCCAGCACAGTGGCTTATGTTTCTCTCTCCTAGGGGAGCTAGTCATTTGCCAGGTCTCCAACAACCCAAACAGAACAAACTGCATGAGGGGTTTCTCTTCATCAACATTCTTAGGAGGCCAAACCGATCTTCAGTGCAAGGACAGGCCTGTTTCCTCTCACATCACCTCCCATGAAGAAACAGGAGTAACAGACCAGCTTCTTGTGCCCTAATTCAGCTGTGACTCACTCATTCCACAGACACACTATGCAAGTTCAGCACGACATGCCAACTTGCTCCAAGGCATGGAAGGTTTCAGTACTCAGGTGTCAGGATTTAACAACAGACATATAAGGCAAGTTGGGGCAGAAACCTATGCCAAGCATATGCCCTAGGAAAATGGATGCACAATTCCAGCAACAGAAAGAGGTGAGCACATACACACAGAGTGGGCCGTGTCTGACACTCTGGATAAAGCCCTGAGTAACTTAGTCTGACCTCATAGCTGACTCTGCTTTGAACAGGAGGTTGGACTAGAGACTTCCTGAGGTCCCTTTCAACTTGAACTATCCTATGATCCTATGACTTAGAAAAGGACTTCAGGAAGCAATGAGTAATCACTGTACTTGAGGTTCCAGTGCAGAGTAATGATTATTTCAGCAAAGTTGAATACGTTTCAATTTAGGTCAGGAAACCAAGTACAAGTAAAAAGATGACAATACTGAGGCCAGTACAGGGCTATTGCATGTGATTTTCATGTCATGTTTTTACAAAATTATGCTGGTAAGTTAGAAAATGTTCAGCAAAGAGCTACTAAAATGCTGAGTCTGGAAACCCCATTTTGCTATGAGAGTAGAGAACTGTCATCTATTTAGCTCAACACAAAGATTAAGTGACTTGATTCCATCTTATTATCTTACTAGGAATAAGATCTGTGATGGTATAGAATATGTCATTCCAAAGCCTAACAGGATCCAGTGGCTTAAAGATAGAGACATTGTTAGGCGAGAACCAAGAATCATATGTTTTAGGCTGTTGATACAATTACCCATTGCACAAAATACCTGAAGGCTTGGAGGGCTTTTACATGAAGTCTTCTATTTAAGATTTTCAATCTTGAGAAATAAGATCTTGCTCAAGCTACAGCTGTGGCCTCCATAGGGAGCTGCTGGCAATACTTTCTGTGATTCACATCCTGGACACATCTTCATGGACAGGTGGTTCCACTATGCAGACGGTGTTGAGACATCTATAAGCCTGCGTTAAGTCCCCCTGCCCCTCAGCCAGTCTTACTAGTTTGGGTAAGCATGCCTTCCACAGAGGAAAATGCAAAGCTGCATCAGGAAGGCATATCTTTCATTATCTGATACTGCAGACACAGCAACTTTACTGCTTTTTTCACCTGTCTTCTGTCCTCCTTCACTTTAGAAAGGAAAAAGGTCTCCATCAGAATAATATGAAAAATCATCTCAACTTGTGGTTGTAGAAGAAGATGCATAACGCACTTCTGGAACCTCTTACACTATTTTGTTACTTCCACAGCTTGGCATACAGCAACAGTACGAGCTTGGCCAGTACATGCGGAGGAGATACTCTTATTTCCTGAGTGTTGCATACAAGCAGCGTGAGGCAAGTACTGTATCTGGGAGGAAGGATGTTTTTCATGGATATTAATGGAACTTCCTGAACGCATGAGAGTCTGAAGCTGATGGTGGTCAAGAAAACGTAATACCCATTGAATCCAATGTCGTTCCAAAGTATTTCTGAAACTGTGGCTCAACTTTAACTCAGGCTGCTGGTTAACTCAAAAACACCATGTGAAAGCTTTTTAGGCTGTACATCAGGCTCAGATGCCTCAGTGTTTCCCGGCACTGAGCATACTGGATATCTCCAATGCTATACTTCCATATGGAGTGCAGATACAGCTGAGTTTTCATTTAGGGTCCAGCAGTCCAGAGCATACACATTGTGCCAAAGCCTACGTGTTCAAATGGAGTGAGTCCTACTGCTTTTCGCTAGGACTTCTAAGGGAAATGCTACCATGTTGCAGGTTCCTTGTCCAACAAGATTTTATTCCAAGGCCTTGTTCCAGCTTCACTCTTTCTCCCTCCTTCTTCCTTATCGTTTCTTTCACTCCACTCCACTTTAATGACAGCTTTCTCAGCGTAGTACCTGTCCCTTCCTTTCCTACCAAGAGAAAAAACCCAAAACAAAACAGGAAAAATGACCTTCAACAACTTCTATTATTTTTTCCTTGCTTCAGATTTATGTTCAAAGCACTGATTGTGATTACACACTTACGAGTGCTCAGGCAAGTCTTGCCGGGCTGTACCCACCAACACAGGACCAGATTTGGAACCCTGGAATCCTTTGGCAGCCAATTCCAGTCCACACGGTGCCACTGTCACATGATAGGGTGAGTAAAAACTTGCAGGGGCAGGGGCATTTGCTTGCCTTTAATCATTAGTAAAATGCCTAGGATATGAGCTGAAGGGGCAGGACAAAGGGCATGGTAAAGGAAATGAAAAGTATGTAACGTTACAGGCATTGTGCAGAAAGGCCAAAGAAGCTGAGTAGAAATATTGAGAGTTTCTACAGAGACCTGGAGTTAACACAGAATGAAGAAAAGCAGAAGTCCTAGGTACAGAGAAAAAGAATTAACCTATAATGTGAATAAACACTGACAGAAGTAGATTTATCACAAACGTGACTTTCTTTGTGGGAGAACAGAAGCACTGCTCTCACTAGTGCTTCAACGTTTCTTAATCCACAGCCAACCACGAAAAGACAAAACCATTATTTGGGGACTCTCACTGCTGTGAGAATTGAGTCAGAGGACTGTTTTTCATGCGCTTGGAAGGTCAGCACCTGCACTTTGAGGGCTGGTAGAAAAAGTAAAAGGGAAAAGGAAGGAGGACTCAGAGCTTTAAGAACATAAGTTCACAGGGCAATGTATTTATTCATCTCTCTTCCTCAACTCCTCACCTTGGAGCTATAAGGAACTGTGTGGATAGCAGCTCTGTAACTGCATAAACTCGTCCTAGAGCGGAAAGCTGGGCAGCTGAGTGGAGCTGGAGTTTCCCATTTGTGGAAAACCCATGGTAAAAAGCTAGGAAAGATGAGGAGTGTACAAAGTAAGTCCCAGTTTGAGAGAGGAGGTTTGCACATGTGATCCAAGACAAATTGTGTGGGCTTACAAGTCTAGCAAACTCAGCCTGTGATGATAAGTGAATCATTTTAAATAGGCTATGAAGCAATGGTTCTCACCTTGGGGTGATGAAAGCATGAAGACAGAGGATATGGAGACACGTCTTCCTGTTCATGCACACAGCTGGCATAGAGTCAGGAGCTCCTTTTGACACTGGTACAGATGGTGGTACCCCAGCAGACACTCCAGCATACACGTGGCCGATATCAACACCTCTAGCAAATTCAGCAAACAGGTGCTGCACCTTAGTCACATCTAGGGGAGCAAGTAAATTTATTCAAACAAATCCTAAAGTCGTGAATACATACATGTTTTTCACACTTTGTTCAACTATATTTATCTTTACTACATACACAGGCTGCGTTTGAGACCACGTATATCCTGCTATCCAAAACAACTATCTCGCATTGATTTGCAGTCATGCCTGTCCATGAACCTCTGGGTTTAATTCAGAAATAATTTCCTACTTTCTGGAATAGGTAAATTCTATTTCTAAAAAGACTGAGGAACTGCTGGGAAGCTTTCCAAGCCAATTATCCCTTCAGGGCTCTCAAGTTCTTGCTGAAGTTCTTTTAACTGTGGAACTATATAGAACTTTGTTACTGGAAAAAGGGCAAAAAGTGTATTATAGAAGAACAGTGAGAGTATCCCAGTGTCAAATTTTGTTTTAACTTTTGCTTAAATTGTAACATTAAAAGCTTCAAACAAGAATAAACTCAGTTTAGCTGAGATAAATGAATTAACAAAGTCTGAAGTAATCCTAGTCGCATGTAACCTTTAACCTTCATATGTCCTGAATTAAAGAAAGACAAAACTGAGTTATAGAAACTTCACGAGTTTCCACAATTTAGCTGAACTAAATGAAGCTGTGGTAAGGCCACTAAGTACAGCTGAGTATGCACAAAGACTCCTATTGCAGTCCAGCCACTCTGGGTAATTTGTTAGTAAAAGGTGACGATGTGTTTAAATGAGGATGGAACACAAGGAGTGACATCATCCCTGGGGAAGCCAAGCACAAAGCAGTTCACGAGGGCTTGTGCTAGCGTTCTGTCAAGGAACACATGTCATCTTGTGTAAATGAACCTTTTAACTTTGAACTACTGCAGCTGTTACTCCTCTGAACATTCAAAGCTTAGTTTGTAAGTAGTCATCAGTATGACTCTTACAGTCCTCAAGATGAATATCCTTGAAAACGACATTCCCAAATTATTCTTCAGCTTGTCTCAACTAGTGCAGCCAATCATAACAACAACCCTGCAAGGGCACACTGGACTGCAGAACAAGAAGCACCTTGCCTAACTAGTGTTCTGCAATTTTTGTTTCAGTTGCTCTACTTCCCTTTCTCACACTGTCCAAAATACAACGAGCTTCTGAGAGAAACCTTTGCAACACGGGATTTCCAAAGGCAACTTAAGCAGTACAGGGTAAAGTATTTTCAGTTCTGGAAATCAAATGTACCATTTCTGTCAACATTGTCTAACAGGTAGGTTTAAATAATGGCAGTCAATAAGTGCTCCTTCAGATCTCTAATCTTCACACTGAGTGTAGACAGCATACCAAAAACCTATTACAACATTCTGGATCCATCTGGACCGGGCTCTTCTCATCAGTTTAAAATTGCAAGTCATGGCAAGGAGAAACTACTGACTACCTTGCAACAAAAGAGCCCGTGTACCTTCCAGGAGAGCAGACAAAACAAAAACTCTGATCAAATCAGTGCCAATACCTCGCTCTGTTTACTCCAAAGTAAAGCAACTCCTCTGACGTCTCTGTCTCTATAACTCCGTTCAGATTCCTCTTTCACCACAAAATGCTCACAGCTCGATACTCCAGATTTTCTGTTAACAGCCTCAGTGCTCTCCTCAAGTACCTGTTCATGTTTCACACCCAAAGTCTTCACTCAGGTTCTCACATTTTGTTCTTGCCTCTCTAAGGTATCCCTTTCCTTCCCTCCTCCACCATCAGAATCATCATGCGTATGTAACCACTTGTCTGCTCTGCTGTAAACTTCTTCATGAGTTTATTCAAAATGACACTATCAAACTCACCCAATTTCGTATAATCTTTAACCACTGACCTCAGCCATCCCTCTGTGGCTCCGCATCTGGGTCTTGTATGCAAATGAATCACAATTCCCAGTTTTATGAAACTTACATTATATCTCCCTTCTGCTGAATACAAACATCATCACGGTTCTCTGTGTCACACTTCCTCTAAGCACTTTCTGGATTTACACCAGACTTCCTCAGATACCTGTGTCCCTTCTATTCAACCCTCTTCCAAACATTTCCACCCAGCATAAACCACCACCACACTTCAAATCTGAACTCAGATAACCAAGCTTGCCTAGAAGGACAGGCCAAATTCTCTCACTAATAGGTAATGAATGGCTCATTGCTTAAGTGTGAAGACTATCTTGTTTCTAAAAATTGCTGTGTACTAGTATGGCAGTGTGTGGAAACGATGTAAAGAGGACCTGTGCACTACAAGTTTGCTTTATTGTATTCCAGCCATTTCTGAAGTTTTTAGCCACCCATACAGGTTACCCATTGAAGAAGTTGAACACTGAAAGAATCTGGAAGCTCTCTGACACTTTACAACATGAGGTAAATAATATAAAGAAAATTCTCAAGGTCCAATAGATATCCTTGTGCTTCCTCAAAACTGGGATTTTTAGCTCTTAATTCTATTGTATTGATATCCATAGAGGGTAGGTCTATGCTTCCAAACTTTTCAAACCACAGACTGCTTTTGGCTTCTTCAGAAACCCTCACCTAACACCAAACTTCCAACTGAAAATCCTGTAAAGACACTATGACTGTGTGAGGCTCTGGGTTGTCCACCACTATAAGGAACACAAACTGATAGCCTATTGAATTCAAGATCCTATCAGTGACTACATATGAAGAATTAGGCAAAAGCATACCTTAAGATAAAATGGGTCTTGTTTCTCCTCCAAAGCCCATCACAGAGATCCACACGAATAAAATATGGAACACAGGAATAAAACAAGCATGCTTCCACAAAGATATTGCATAGGCAAGAGAAGTCATTCTTTGCATACGGACAGGAGTGGTCATGAATTAAGCAGACATTGGAATGACACAATTGTTTGTGAAAGTTTGGAGCCTTTTCTAAGCAAAGGAACCAGGCACATCCCACAGAAGCATGCATTTTTATAACAAACAGGGTGCTGTGGAGCCCAACTGTTATCTGGATCCCACAGCCTGGTACCTCTGAGTGGGATTGCAAAAACCTGAGTGCCCTTAATGTAACAACAAGCCCCGCTTCCTGTCACTTCAAAGTGTAGATTTATCTCAGGTGGAGCAAGTGAAAACAGCTGTGTCTTCTGTTAAGAAGTTATTGTTGCAGACAGCTTTCATTACAAATGCTTTCATGCATAATTCTTTTAACATTTAATATTAATGATTAGTACTGGGATATCCCCTAGAAAACTAAGGCAGTTTTAAGGTGGATTTCACAAGCAACGTGAAATACTTTGGTGTGATCATAATGAGTTTACCTTTTGCCCTGCAGTTTCTGCAAAGGTCCGGCTTTGGCGAAAGCGGTCGTGAATGGAATGTCAGCAAGGGCCTTAAGCTACATGAAATGTTAACAGGTTGGGACATCTCACTAATTTCAGTGAGATCACCCTTCCATGGTTTTTAAATGCAGGATAGCTCAGGACCACAACGTTTTATTTCAATTGTTATGTCATACTGAGAATCCTGTGTCACCAGAGAGATGTGCAAAATCCACAGCTGCCATCAGGGATCCAGCTAAATGCTGCAAGACAAAATAATTAACTGGGTTTTTTTTTTTCCTTCTAGTGTTAAATTTGATGAGCTTTGGTCTTTCATACTACTCAGTGAAGACTGGGGGTATCAGTTAAGACAGCTGCCAGAAAGGTCACTCTCACCCTTTCAAGCATACAAAAAGAGCTTTCTTACATAGATTTTTAAATACAACTCATGAAACTACAGGAGCATGCATCTCTCTGTATTTGTTACTTTTGGCTAAGTGTCATCTGACTTTCAGGTACCTTGGAGACTGAGGTGCCTGCGGGCCTACAGCACTGTCTTAAATAGCAAGTCACAGGACACAAATCACATTTGCTAAAGGAGAAAGTGAGACATTGTGACCTGAGCTGGTTTAACCGAACATTTTCTATTGTTTCACTTGTTTAAACAAACCCTTCAAGTAGCTGGCATTTTCCTTAGAAGTCATTGTTACAAGAACACTCCCTTTGGGGAAATCAGTCCAATGGTTACCCCGCACTAAAGGAGAGATACCAACCTTGCTTAAACAGGAATCCAGGGTATAAGTGAAACCAGGAGAGCTGGGTGTATCTTCCCCTCTTGCAGCAGTGACCATTAATGTATCTTGGGCTGCATCCCCAAGGAAAGACTAATCCATCCCGCTTTAGCCTGAGGACTACAGCAGTATCCAACAGAGCTGGTATGAGTAGGTATGAATTCCATCTATCTAGCTAATCCCTATGCATATACCTCATATTCCAGTATGCCTGAATTATACCTATACATATTCCTAATTCATCTCTGGATCTCAACTGCCAGCCCTTAAAATTCTGGCATGTATATAGGATTTGATTCAGTAAGCATCTCATTATATATCCCAGTAGATGGCTGAAAGAGTCACCAAGTGAACTTTTTTTGCACTAGACAACTGCATTAGCAATTGGCATAAATAATGCCCGTTGCTTTTTGCATGTTCTTTACTATTATTTTTCCTCTTGCTGTTGAACACTGCCCTTCAAAGTTGTTTTCAGCAGCGTGATGCCATAGACCGGAATTCTACAGCTGTCTAAATGCAAAATACAGTCATTATTAAGTGTTACATGACTGAAATACTCAGAATTTACTCTGACAAGCATTTTGTACCAGAACAAACAAGAGTTAGCAGCAGGAATCAATAAGAAAATCACCATGTTTTCTCTCTTCGCTACAGGATATTAACAATTACACTGTACCTGTTTGGGCTACTCATGGTGTCAGGACCAAGCTAACAAAGCTCTCAGAATTGTTGCTGCACGCGGAATTTGGGTTCCACAAACAAATACAGAAATCACGTTTGCAGGGAGGTAAGCTGTATTCTTACCCCATTTAAAACCTACAACAGAATGGAAAAGAAGGATATATAATAAACATTGACACCAGTTCTGTAGTAAAACTGCAAAAGATGCCATGATGTGGATATTGGTGGTGAGGATATGAATCATGAATGTCTTAATGCAACATTATAAAGGAGATACCGTATTGATCACACTGTATAAGAAACCCAAAGTAATATGCAGGTTCTTGCTGAACTGAATGAAGTCTGAATTTAATGTAAGCCACCAAGCTTAACTTACTTAAGAAAGTATTACTTGTATAATCTCCAGGATGTAACTTCTGTTGCCTGATTGTCTTCATATTCCATTACTGAAAGTACTAAAATGAGATTATTTAACTGCTTCTAAACTTTATTCTGCTCAGCAAATTGTAGCCGAAATTTAGAATAGTTTATACCTTCTCTAATCACTCATTCTCCTCCACTCATTCACTGTTACTTGGTTTTGTTTCATATGGACACTGTACAGTCAGGAAGCATGGATCAATTCGTTTGCTTTTTTGGAGCTCCAACCTACAAAGCCAAGTACAAAGTTCAAACCTCTGCTCTTGCTTTACAACAACTGCTGTTAAAAAATGCATCAGTAGCTGAAGACAACATGTGTCTTATTCTGCTAGCATGGGCAGTTCTTAGTTTAGGATTTTAATTTGTCAAGATTCCAACCTTATGCTAACATACTAGCACAGGCATTGATTTAATTCATGGTTTTAGTAGTTAACATTAACAAAACACAGACAACCACATAATTCAAGAAGGCCCAGCGTCCAGTGGATATGCTCTTTCTCTGGAAATCATGAAGCCCATGGAGTTACACACAAAAGAGGGTAGAATGATTCATTACTGTGCTCTTCTTGCACTGTTCTGCTGGCACATAGCAGCTTTGAATTCACTGTTTGAAGCTGTTGAGGCTGTTACGGGTCCCCAAAACTTTTGACATAGAAGTAAAATAGGCCTGCTGTTCACATAAAAGGTAGTTATCAGAATTAACCAAGGCACTCTGCACAAATCACCTGTAAAGTCAATTGAATAAATCTGGTGCGTTTAAAGGCAGATTGTGCTAAACCAGCAACAAGTGATACAGATGTTACCATGAGCATTCCTCTGATTTTCACTGCTTCCCCATTTTGTTGCAGGTATTCTGTTAAAAAATATTCTAAAGCATATCTCAGATGCTAGAAAGCCTTCACACCAGCAAAAAATGGTTATGTATTCTGCGGTGAGTCCCTTCTGTTTCTTTTATGCTCTTTTTCTGCAGTTATTAAATGCAGTGAAAGCCATGAAATTTTATTTCCTTCATGAAATACCGCTACAAGCACTTTTTATTTGGTTAACCTTCAATATAATTGGATTATTTTCAGTCTGTAATGAACAGATCCTACTTTGAAACCTGCAGCATTCCATTTTTCACCTGATGCCACGGCATGTTTCATTGTAATATTGTTTTGATCAAGCAGAGAACTGGAGAAAACCATGACTCATGTTTTGTGGAACCATGCCTTATTTTACTGAAATTCTATCACAAAGATACTTCAGAAACAAACCCCTGCTTCCTGCATCTTTTTCAGACAAGAGAAACGAAGTTCAAGTAGTTATTTTAGAAGGTCTATGAAGGCAGCTACTCAACTGTTCTGTTTAGAATGTGCAAATGCTGTCACTGGAGAATGAAATTGTTGGGTTGCTCTTGGTAAAAAGCTCCTATTTATAAACAGCAGTTAGATTATGACCTATCAGGTGTATACCAGCCAAAGAGCTAACTAATCTGATTTAAAATACTCTTTATTTAACATGCAAAGCCACTAGTTCTTTTTAGAAGTTTTTATAGCTCCTACTAACCTCAATAAGAAGTACAAGTGACTAAGACTTCTTTGATATTTAGAGATGTGCATATTTTACACATGTAGCATCTCAGTTCGTACAGCCACCATAGAACTGCTTAATGTTGCAGAGGGCAAGTATTAATGAGGCCCCATCAATAATGTTAAGTGGACAGATAACAGATAGTGTGCTGAACATATTGTTAGGTAATAGGTACATGCAAGCATTTTCAATAGGCCTTTAATGAAAGGTTTCTTCTATTTACAGCATGCAGCCACCATTGCTGCCTTACAGATGGCACTCAATGTCTTCAATGGGAAACTGCCTCCTTACAGTGCCTGTCACTTTTTTGAACTTTACCAGGAAAAAAATGGGCAAGTATCTGCATGCTGGACTGAGAACTTACCATCTTCCTAAAAAGCAATACCCCAGATGACTTGAACTGGATGCAACAAGGCTCACTATGCACAAAAAGATTATAGATTTATTGGAATTATTACAATTTGACTCAATTTAGCAGCTATTGATAGTAGCGGAATCACAGCACTGCAGCCTGAACACCCTCTATATATTAGTTCATTACAGTAATGAGAGGTTTTACTCTACTCTTTGTATCTATTTAACTCCTCGATTCTCTCCCAAGCAGACAAATGACATGCAAGTTGCTGTGGACCATCTATTGTTTAAAAGATCCCCTCAGAGTACTAATGGCACATATTAACAGCCAGAAAAATTAGCTGGCTACAAGTTTGTCCCGAAGTACTACCCCTACATCCTGGAAAGTCGGAGTGGTTCTGCATACCTAACTTTTGACCCTTCTGTATCTTGGAACAGGCAATACACCATAGAAATGTACTATCGGAATAATACTCAGAGAGATCCTCACCCCCTCACTCTCCCTGGCTGCAGATTCCGCTGTCCACTGGAGAGATTCACTCAGTTGGTCGCCCCAGTCCTGGTACACTACTGGACAAGAGAATGTAGGATGTAGGACATAAAACGAGGTAAGTTAAGTGCTCTAGGGACATGTAGCCAAATGTAAAGTCAGGATTACGCCTTCTGCCAAGAGCTCACTTGAGGTAACAAGCATTTTCATAAGGGTCTGGTATGAAATTAAAAATGTGCAGGTCCACTAAGACAGAATTGTACCCACTGGCCATAATTTCTACTCCATTGACACATTCATCCATTCCAGCCCAACTTTCTGCTGAAATAGAAGCTGATAAACAACATTATGCATTCCCTTGATTGCAGGAGACATTCAGAGATCAAAACAGATGAATACTGAATAGTATACCCAATCGGTACTTACCAGAATGTCAAACATATACAGACACACATTGGCATACTAACACATCCCCTGGTAGGTTGTCTCTATCTCAATATTAGGATGTCTGACTTTCCGTTTTGACCACTGATGATATTTACATTTGCAGAAAGCGGGAACACGAAGGCAGATAATTACATTCTCTCTGTTGTAGCTAGCTCTATATTCCTTAAGGGAGATGAAAAGCATACAGGCCCCAGGCTTCAAAAGTGTCCCCACTTTTTTTGATGATCAAATGTTCGACCTAATGTTATAAAATACCATATGGCTTTCTGAATCACTGAGCTTAAGAAGAATTTGAAATGCTAGCGATCAGAAGAATGCAGGCAAGCCAACTCGCCTGCTTACAAATCATTTCCAGTTCAATGTCTGCAATCCATGAACACACTGGAAACAGTTCAGTCAGAATGAATGAAAAATGAGCAACTAAATGATTCACTAAATACATTTCTTCACTATATTTACTGCTCACAAATTCTCAGGAGACCTATCAGGAAATGACCACATTTAATTGCAAAAGGTGATTAATTCCTGAGGGGAAGGAGGAGGTTGGTTCTAATGACTTTTTTTTTTTGGCCAAGCAACTAATTTAGCCATGGAAGACAATGGTAAGTATTTAATGTTCATACTGCAGTACTTAGTAATCTAAGTTTTGTGGAAATCAGTTCCCTTCCTTCACAAAGCAAACTGTTAAACTGACACAGTAATTAAGTAAAAAAAAAATAAACATATCATCAAAATTTGGCATGAATAAAGATAGAAATATTTAGCCTTTTAAGCTAAAAAAAAAGGCTGTGCACTGTTTCAGTTCTCAAATTCTGCTTAAGTAGAAGTTAGATGGTGTTCAGGCAATTTACACCAAGTCCAGCATCACTGCTCACAACTGCCTTCATTAGTAATCAAACAATATTTGCCTTGGGTGACATGGTCTAGTGTGAGGCATCCCTGCCCATGGCAAGGGGGTTGGAACTGGATGATCTTAAGGTCCTTTCCAACCCAAACCAGTCTGGGATTCTGTGATATCAAAATCTGACACTTTCCCCAATTTTATCATGGTTCAGAATGGTTCCATTTCAGTAACTGTTGGGGCCAGATCCCAATTCTGGGGCTCATAACTCTCCTCCTGCAGGCAGAAGCTGTAAACTCTCTGCTATGCATGAGCGGCACTTGAGGAAATTCCAAGGCACACAGCCCCAGAGCCTGCACAGCACAGCCCGCTAGCAGAGCTGAACCACCGGGTATTGCCAATGCTCAATGACTGCAGATAGGCTGGAACAGCTGATCTTTAACACCATGGAGCTGAACTGAACTGAAAAGTGATGCAGAGTTTATAGGTCACGTTTGCACCAAATACACACGCTGATTTCAGCTGTTGTCATCTTTGTCAATAATAATCTCAAATATTGTCCTTTGCTAAAGCACATGTTAATACTTGGATTATACATGCCTCAGAGCATTTGATTAACAGAAGCCCATAAATGTGATTCTTCTTAATGAAATCAGTGAAGTTACAGCACTAACATAGCTATTCTACATGGAGATACCATTTCCCAAACTGAGCTGTTCCCAGAAAATGCTGAATTGAAGCTTCATGGAGATGACTTATATGTGCAGTACATGAAAATACAGAGGTTAGGCAAGCATTGCTATTACAGGTCACACAAGAGAATAGCAGTATAAATCAGAACCAAGTTCCTCCACATGACAGTGACCACAGTGTGGAACACAGGAAGTGAAGGCAGCTCAGCTTATTTGGCAAGGAGATCCCTCTGTGCTCTTTTGGCTGCTCAGGAAGGTTTTGATGTGGACTGTCTCACCGTTTCAACAGACTTTTCCTAATTCCATCAAAATGGGAGCAAATTTGTTAACACTTCTGAACTTAAGCTGAGCCATGCACTTCTTGAGGTGCTGCTAAACAGATTTGCCATGGTTTTGGAGAATGAGGCCATTTGCTATGAATGATTCTTTCTTTTTGTCTTACTTTTAGGTGTTCCCTCCATGGTTTTCAGTGTGATTAGCTTCATGAAACATCTCCTCCCACACTGTGACGTGACAACAGTCTAACATTTCTCATTAACTTCCATCACATGACAAAGAGTCTCCTGATGTCCATCAAAGGAAAACATGCTAAAATTGTAAGAAGTGGTGATTTATCCTTCATGAACATTCACTTCATTTTATCAAGTGGTAAAACCTAAATGCAGTACAAAACCAGAGTACTATTTCAACATCTCTTGATTCCAAAAGGACTTTGGCAGGACTAATTCAAGAATGTAAAAGTGTTATGAAGGACTATAGCCTTAAATTTCAGCAAAATTGGAAAATACCTCTAAAGGAGTGTTGCTCTCGTTCAAAGAATGAGACAAGAACTTCCAGAACTCGTGAGGGAAGCAGCGCTTCAAAAGAAGTTTCCAAAAGGAGGAGTCATCCCAGTGTATTTGTGCTTTATTTTATTCAAGAAGTAATGAAGTATTTCACACAAACATATCTCAGAAGCTACAAAAATTAGGATAATGGCTGTTTACTTAGCTAAGAAATGTCTTTTTTCTCTTATACATGCACAAATACCCCACCTCTACACAAAAGGAAGGTGAGACTTCCAGAAAGAATAGGCCATGGCTCTAGACTTAAGAGAAGCCTATAAACAGCCAGGATGGCTACCATGAAGACCTGGCAGGCAACTGTCTAATCCGACAAGGCTTTCCAATATTGAGCCATTTTACCTCTTTCCAAAAAGACAGCAAGGCCAAGTGTTAATTTTGAAAGAAAAACCATTTCTGGTTTCAAAAACCTTTTCAAACACCTTCTTTTTGTTATGTTACCTTGATTGTATACCCTGATCTGATCATATAAGGTCTGTTCTTCAGGAAAGACTGTCAGCCCATGCTGTTCTTGATGTGAACAAAAGGTGGATCATAATGATCAGATGCAACTACCTTCTGAAAACAGTGGAGATTTCTTTGCTTGCAGAACTAGGCTTTCTGACTTTTTGTTTTCTCACAGTGGACAGGACTTTTTCCAACAATCTGGTTGCTCTCAGGTCATTTCGAAGAGTAACAGATGACATGCAGAAAATTTTGCCATTTTAGACTCTTTCCCTTGGACCAGGCTTCTAAAATGGATGTCAAGCCTATGAAATGTATATCCCTTTTGAGAAATACAGCATAGGCAGATAACTGCTATCCCATAAGCTACAAAAGAATCAAAAGATCCCCTTCTCCTTCAGCAAGAACTCAAGTTTCAGAATTCTCACTGTAAAACTCTTCTCAGCAGGACCCAGCAACAAATCCTGTGCTTCCTAAGCCAGCGTAAGAAACACAGTTCAACCAGAAGAGCTATAGCCAGATTTCACAGCAAAGAAATTGTAACACATAGATAAAAATGAATTATTCCCTCTAGTGAAAAAATGCAAGCACTTTTACCGTAGCATCCAAACAAGGATAAAATGTTTTCCAACTGCATGAAACAATCAGTTCTAGCTCTTTCTTAATACACATTAAAACAAGCTTGTTTTTTCCATATTACCTTAACGCCCATAATGGGCACCAGCAGAAAGCCTTCCTAGCTCTGGCAGCCCTCATAGGACAGGTAGTGCAAGCCATTTAAATGCTTCATCTCAAACCCATGCAGCTGATTATCACTCCTCCTGTAACAAGAAGTAATCCAAATAAAAATTGATGAAAGAAAGCAAATAGAGAGGAGAGTTTAAGATTTTATCTTTATTGCTATTAGGCTTCTATTAAGATTGTAGACTTGGCTGCCAGAAACAAATTCCTAGGCATCCTTTCTTCTATTCTGAACCTGTTCCTATTTCTGCATGAAGACCCTTCATTTGTCCTACAGAGTTGTCTGTTAGGGGTGACCATGGAGCTGGACCACTGCAGCGCAACTATGGAAGTGCATCCTAGCTAAGGCCACAGCTCACAGAACACAAACAGAAGGTGGTTTTCATCATTTTTACATCACATCATCAGACCACATGTCCTAGTGAAGGTACCTTGAACATTCCGATTCCTGTTGAGTAAAATCAGATTTCAAATTTAATCTGCAAATAAAAAGATTTCAGAATTATTTTATTCCCCCAATCCCCATTCAACAGACACCCCATCACCCCATCACATTCTTTATGAGGTTTTTTTGCTCTTAGGATTGTCACTGTAGAAACACAGAAAGGAAGACTTCATTTATACCTTGCTTACTCCAAGGAAAAATAAATACCAGTGTTCTTTAAGTCTTAAACATCAATCCCAGCTCTTATATGACTATAAATTGGGGATGCCACTGGATGAAAAATAAAACACTCTAAATGATGTTTTCCTAACACTGCACCAGCTGACTCCATTTGAAAACTCTGTCCCATAGTCTTTTGTAGGTTTGAAACCACAGTTTCATTTCAGTTTCTCTTAAAGAAGAAATGACCAACACATTACAGTTCAGCTTTGGAATTATTTGGAATACAAAGTAAAAGATTTGTGTTTATTTGGGTTTTTTATATCATGTTGCAGAAGCAGAAGCATGTGAAAATGCAACTCCCTCCCATCACGAACAATGCATAGACAGTCCAGTCATGGTTTAAAGAAGGCTTGCTATAGTACAGTAACCTGAATAGTCATAATGCTGTAATATAGGTGAGGTGTAGCTCATGATGTTCACTATTTTTCCTGTTATACAGTGGTGGACTTGTCAGCCCTGGGTGAAGGTTGGACTTGATGATTGTAAGGGTCTTTTCCAACCTGGCTGATCCTATGATTCTACGGAAGTAGTACTACAAATACGTGTTCCTTCTTTTGACTCGGTGCTTAGGGACTCAACTGAGATGTGGCAGACCCAAGTTAAATCCCTCCTTTCCCAAAAGGATCTGGCTCTACACCTTCCAGAAAATAAAATCACCACCAGGCTGAAGAGTTTCAGAAGGAAAATGAAGACGAATAGTGCTTTCTGCCTCTTCCTCACTGCTGTTCACTTTGCTTACGTATTTCCTGGTGTTCAAATTAAGCTGCTTGTTTCTTAGGCAAACATCTTAATCATAAGACCAGAAATAAATTTTCTGAGTGCCCTGTAACCAGGTGAATATTACAAATTTGGGTTAAACTAAGAAATTATTAGAAGAGAAGGGAGTAGTCACTTTCTTCCCCCCTCCTGCCGTAGAATACTAATTTTGTACTTAGGGTATTTTCACCTGTAGTACAAGATATAGGTTCATGTGCAGCGGCCAGGTGAAGGGGAGCAGACACCGATGCGATGTACATTTGCAAAAAGCTCCGTTTATTGCTTACAAGGCTGCTATTAATATACTGCTTTGAGCTCCCTTACACGCGATCACGCACTACTTGATTGGCTGCCCCGCTTCGTCCATGAGGTGTCCACGCGCCGCTATTCTTTTTATGATTGGGCCTAGGTGTTTGTGTTAGCTTGGCATTATATCTTGCTTTGCGGTTACTGTTATCCTGTTGCTGCATTCCTAACTCGGGGTTATAAGTTCATATTCTCACAGCTTGCTGTAGACCTGTCCGACTGTCCATGCTCGACCCCCAACATCTCCCCCTCTTTTTTCAAATAAGACATTAGTTATTTGTTGTACACGCTGCATGATACATTGCAAGATACAGGGAATAATCATTAAGCATAAAAATGTAAATACAAATATCATTAAAACACCCTTGATAATATCTTTGATCCATCCCGTAATTCCCCAGCCACTCAGCCATGTATCCAAACCCCAATCATTAACAGCTAATTTCATAGTTAAGTCATCTAACCTTTTTATCCCTTTATGAATTGATTCTGAGTGATTAGACAGATTCATACAACACATTCCATCAAAATCTTCACATCCATGTCCCTGTTCCAACAACAAAAGGTTCTGCAGTGTTGCATGTCTTACAGAGTCAACATTAAAACAAATCAGGAATTGCCTTCGATGTAGAATTGTCTGCTTAGCAACTCAGCAACCCAGTCTGCTTAGTTGAGCCAAGGCCCAGGCTGAAGCACTTACAGTGATTTGGCATATTATGATTGGATACATGTTTTGAAGACCCTTAGTGACTAACATATAATTGGTTACACACAGGTGTGAGAACTCAACCTTGAAAGCTTGCCAACAGTCCACAGTTCTCATTAACTTGGTGAATTCCAGCCTCTTATCTTGCTTGCTTAAGCTTCTTCAGGCCTCTCATGGCCTTGCTGTATCTTTCAGGACTGTTCAAAGTTTATGTACCAATTATGCATTCTCTTGTGAGAACACTGTCTCCACATCTTCCCCCTTTTGTTTTATCCAGTAACAAGTCGCTACTACAGCAAGGCACACACAAATTTACATTAGCAGAGTAACTATTACAGGGTGCAGCAGCATGTTGAAGATGCTGATGGCAGTGAAGGACTAGCCAAAGAAATTTCTTACCAGTGGAATTCTCCCCCCCTCTTAATTTGTTCCATCACCTGCTTTATAACACTACCATTGTATTAAAATTTTTCTAGCTTTTGCCTTAGCATTTTCTAGCAGCTACTGCAAATTTCCATACTCTAACATCTCTTTTACAAGTGACAAATCTATACAATACAAGGTGCAGTTTCTTATTAGCAACTAGCTAGTAAATACAGGTGGTTTTATACACAAAATCACAACCTCTAATAATAGCTACTTTACAAGCACACATATTCAGGATGTTACTTTTCAGTTGTCCCCAAGTGATGTTTTGCAGTTATTTGTTCTTTCTCTTCCTCTATCTCATTCTGCTTGGGGTAATCACAGTCAGCTCCTGTAGCTGAGGCATCAGGTTTATCCATTCGTCTGTCCAGCTCATGGCAGGGCTTCACAAACTTTGCAGACAGTCGCCACGGACCTGTAGGCAGGAGGGCACAAATATACCCCCTCCCCCAGGTTATCAGTTCTTCACAAGTAGACAGGTTAAAGTTAAATGCAACATCATTACTCACTCGCTCCCCCCGTTTTTTTTTTTTTTTTTTGAGTCCCTGCAAAAGCCATCATTACTCCCACTACAGTCCCACGTACAGAACGTGGCACAAGGACCCTGTGGAGACTAACAGCAAACCAGCTCCGAGAAGCATCACTGCAGTGCGAGGTGGCAGGCTCAACCTTAGCGGGCGTCCCCGCAGAGGCTCTGCCTCCCCCACATTGTATG